GATGTGGATGAGATGATGGTTTGTCTCCTGACCCGGTCACTGCCTCCCTGAAACACCCTCTCTTGCCGGGCAAACGGGCCTCGGGAGGCTCAGTGAGCGGGGGCTGGGGGCGGGGGGGGGGGGGGGGTAGGGGAGGGGGTACTGGGGAGCCCTCCGCCTGTGCCCCACTGCGAGGGACCTCATCCCCACTCAGGACCTCTGCTTACGTCCCATACCTGGTTCCTCTTGGTCCAACACTGAATGGAAGCAGAGGGAACTTCTGGATCCACTTCTTTTTTCTTTTTTTTTTTAATTAAAAAAAATTGATTTTAGAGAGAGAGGAAGGGAGAGGGAGAGAGCAACATCAATTGGCAGCCTCCGGAATGCTCCCTACTGGGCATCAAGCCGGCCACCTGGGCATGTGGCCTGACCAGGGATGAACCAGCAGCTTTTTGGTGCATGGATGGTGCTCAACCAAACTGGGCCACAGCCTGACCTTATCGCAAATGTCCCCCAACGGGGGCCCGGACCCAGTGTGAGACCCAGGGAGCTGGAGACGCGGCTCCCTGGGCCGCAGGCACCCTCAGCTGCACTTGGAAAAAGGAGGAGGCCGGCCACGTCAAACCAAAACTCTCCGGCTGACATTTGCCTGCGGCAGCCTGGGTGGCGGGGTGCAGCCTGGGGCCTGGAGGAGGCTGAGCCTCAGCAAGGCCCTGGTTGTGCCAGGCTCCCACCCCCACCTGCAGCCCAGCTCCTGGGAGGGGGGCAACCGGGAGAAGCCTGCTGTGGCCACGGGGTGGGGACGGGGGACATTTCTCCCTGGGCTGCCCCGTTTCTCCTCCCTGATTTTCATCCCTGTGGACTGTGCGTCCTGGGATGAGCCAGTGGGGGCCGTAGCTAGCGTATTGACGAGGTACCTTGAGGACAGAGCTGTATAAGGTCCAGGCATGGACACCCCTCGGGGTGGTGGGGAGAGCCCCAGCATTTCCTTGTCTGCCCTCTGGCTCCAGCACCTGCCACCCACACCTGCCTCCTCCCCTCCTCCCCGCCCAGGGCAGCCCCAGAGGCCGAGGTGGGCCCCACCCTCACCATGATGGCTGCTTCCCTCACTCCCTCTCCAGATCCACTCAGTCACTCACCGGGGGCCCTGAGCCAGCCCTGTTCCTGCAGGCCCTGCCCTGGCACCCCCTCTTCAGCACGGGCCTCCCTGTGGCCCCAGACAGCCCGGGGCAAGGCCCCCCTGCTGATGGGCAGTGCGGCATGCTGGGAAGGGCCAGTGCTCCGCGGAGGTGCCCGTGCACCCAGCTCTGACCCTTCCTGACTCCTGTACACATGTCACATCGGTGGCTAGGACCGGCTGGCATGGCTCAGTGGTTAAGCATCGACCTGCAAACCAGGAGGTCACTGGTTCAATTCCAGGTCAGGGCATGTGCCCTGGTTGTGGGCTCGATCCCCAGGGTGGGGCACGCAGGAGGCAGGCGATCAATGATCCTCTCATCATTGATGTTTCTATCTCTTTCTCTCTCCCTTACTCTCTGAAATTAAAAAAAAAGTAAAACACACACACACACACACACACACACACACACACCCGGTGGCTAAGACCTGCCAACCGCTGTTTCCTCATTGGCGGATAAAAACAAAAAACAAACAAACAACAACAGAAAACGAAGAAGAAGCCACCTTTGGTTACAGCAGGGGGAGCAGGGGCAGTGCGCTGCTCCGGATGCAGTGCCCGGGGGGCAGCCCTCAGGCCACCGGCGGCCGCCCCTGAGAACCTGCTTCAGTCTCCCAGGAAGTGGGTGTCCTCTGCTGAGGGGCCCAAGTTCTCCTACTCTTTGGAATTAGCCTGTTTTCCTTTCTTTTTAAAGAAAATGTCCAGCGTACACAACAGGAGAGAGCTGTGCCATGAACCCTTAGCATCCACCACCGGTTTCAGCACCACCTCCGCCCCCTGCCTGCTCCCCTGGAGTGTTTTCAAGCAAATTCCGGCCAGCATCTCATTTTCCTGTAAACACTCTGGGTGCGGCAGATACAGGTCTTAGGGCACATCGCCACAACTTCTTTCATACCTAACAAAACTAATAAATGTACATTAATGTAACTATTACACAGTCCATGTGCATTCTCCCCAATTGTCTCCTACTGCCCACGTAAGACACATTCAAACCCGCGGAGAACTTGGAGTTTATTCGAGCCAAACTGTCAACAGGGAAGCAAAATCCCACCTCATGGAGCTGGTGCCCAGGGAAAGGCAGTTCCCACCTATTTATACGTCACAATCCGAAGAGGAGACACAGCGGGTTGCAGAGATCCATTGGTGACAGGTTAGGGAGCGGGAGGAAGCAAAGTGGGAGGAGAGGGGATCTCTGGGATTGGATAAAAAGTAAAATGACAGATGGACACGTTCTTCCCTTACACAGGGTGAAAGGTTAAAGTTGGTGGTGCGCGGGCAGGCTACACAGCCATCTCAGACGGTGACCGAAGAAAATTGAGTTTATTTAAGGAAAAGGGGATGGGGAATGGGGATATCCAGAGGGAAGGGCTGGAGGCAGGGTCAGGGGGTTAGCCCGGGACTAGTGACCACTGCCCACTGCTCCCCTGGTTGCAGTCTCATGGGGGCCCTTAGAGGTTGGGGATATGTGCCTGTAGGGGAAGGAGGAGGAGGGAATGGCGGGTGTACTCCTCGGAGGGAGAGTGCCCACAGGGCCCTTTGCTCCGAGCGTGTTTCTCTCTCCTGCAGGTGGGGTCTGGGGGCGGTCTCAGTGGAGGGCCTTTAGAATATTCACCAGCTTTCCCGGTGAGCTCTCCCAGGGCCCTGGTCTCCGCTGATTGGTGGGCACCAGGGCCAGGGGCCATTGGTCAGGTTAGCTGGTCCCGAGGCAGCCACAGTGTCACTTGCCTGGTTTCGCTGCTTTCCTGGGCCTCGATGCCGTCTCTGCGGAGGAAAGGTCAGGGGTCTACACCACCTCAGCAGGCTCTGAAGGATCTGGATCTGAACCGCAGGACCCGTGCTGTGCTAGGGAGGAGAGTGGCCCTGGGACGAGGTTGTTTTCCCAGCTCCGCCCCTGGCTGGGCATCTGGAGCTTTCTGCCCTGGTGACCTGCACCTGACCCTTCGCCCTCGCTGGGGGTCTAACTGCGGGTACAGGATAGTAGTTAGCAGTCAGCAGCATAAAATAACAGCCAGGGGATTCGCAGTCTCTGCTCTGTGTGCAGTGGCTGTGTCCAGAGGGGCCTGAGAAAGGCAGTTACCTGACATTCCAAGGCATGTTATCTTAGATGCAAAACACAATAGACGGCTCAGTAAGGTAAAGGTGACCTTTTTTTGAGCATGGAAACCATTGGGGAGTGTTTTGATTATTTATTTATTTATTTGATTTCAGAGAGAGGAAGGGAGAGGGAGAGATAGTAACATTAATGATGGGAGAGGATAACTGATCCATTGCCTCCCGCATGCCCCTATTGGGGATTGAGTTCAAAACCCAGGTTTCCCCTCCCACTCCGAACACGGCCATGCACCTTGGCTATCACCCCTTCCTCTAGCTTAAACACAGCTCCTGGGCAAGAGAAACAAAGGGAGAATGAACCAATGGGACAACATCGAGCTTTAAGCTTCTGCGCAGCAAAACAAGCACACCATCCGCGAAGCGGACAGACAGCCACTGCGTGGGAGAACTGACACATCTGACAGGGTCAATTTCCAAAATACATGAAGGACTGATACAGCTCAACAAAAGGAAGACAAATAACCCAACTAAAAAAACCTGAATAGACACTTCTCCAACGAGAACGTACAGAACATGAAAAAATGCTCAACAGAGAGATGCAAATTAAAACCACAGGGAGGTACCATCTCACACCTGTCGATGGCTACCATCAATAAATCTACAAACGACAAGTGCTGGCAAGGAACCCTCGTCACTGCTGGAGGGAATGCAGGCTGGTGCAGCCACTGTGGAGTTTCCTCAAAAAGTTAAAAATGGAGCTCCCCTTTAACCCAGTGATCCCACTTCTAGGAACATACCCCAAGAGACCCGAAATACCAATCAGAAAGGATATATGCACCCCTACATTCATAGCGGCACAATTTACAACAGCTAAGATCTGGAAACAGCCTAAGTGCCCATCAGCAGGTGAGTGGATAAAAAAGCTGTGGTACATCTACGCAATGGAATGCTATGGAGCAGTAAAAATGAAGGATCTCGGACCTAGAGAGTCCCATGCTAAGAGAAGTAAGTCAGTCAGAGAAAGACAAGCATCACATGATCTCCCTCGTATGTGGAATCTAATGAATAAAAGACACTGACAAATAGCCCCAGAGGCACGGAAGCCTGGAGCAGACTGACCGCGCAGAGGGAGGTACGTGGGAGAGATTAACCACGGCCGTCCATGCACACAGAAATGGCCACGGATGCAGACGTCGGTGTGGTGAAGGCCTGGGCGGGGCGGGGCAGCAGAAGGGCAGAGGAGGAAAACGGGAACACGTGTGTTCTCTCACCAGTAAAAAGCCTAGGACATGACCACCTGCCATGAACGGCTTTTAGCTAAGGGTTCATTTCAGACATCTTTTGTTGTGGATCTGCAGGTGGCAAGGCCCCTTCGTCCCCCTCATCCCACTGTGAGCTGGATTCGGTGCTTTGCACCAGCTTGCTTGGACAGATTCCGATTTCAGTGAAAATGGGGGGATAATGAGGAAGTCCCTACTTCCCCAAAGTCTCTTGGCTCCTGGCTCACTTCCCCCAATGCTTTCCAAACCACAGGAACCAGCATTTCCTTTTTTTGGGGTGTTTTTAAATGACAAAAGGAGTCTCCTCACCCTTACAGCAGCTTTGAAATAAAGGGGTTCCTCTAATAGCTTTCAAACCCAACAATGATCCAGGTTAAGCAACAAGGCAGGCTCTGCTTTAGTTCTTGTTTTCGAGGGTAAACATTTCCAGGGAACTTCTTTTCAGAGAGACTCTTTTACGCCCTCCCACCTGCTTTTTGAAATCCAACAACCACAAGATTTACTCCATCCCCCTTTATCTCTCTCCCTCACACACTCCCTCGTTCTTTTTAGCAGCAACATACAGGCCAGCCATATTAGAGAGATGGAAATAAAGCTTCCTTTCTGCCGTATGTCTCCCTGAAGTGCACCGTGTGTCCCACTCTATTTTCTGGCACTAACATTCCTCCCCACAGCCCTCAGCGCCCTCTGCCACCTCCCAGCGATCCCAGGCTCTGGAGATGCTCAGAGATGCCTGGCTCCCTCGCCCTGCCTTCGGCCTCACGGGGCTCAGTCTCTTTTTCTCTCTGGGTAAGTCTGTTTGCACATCGCGCATCGCATGCTTGGAGGGTCCGCGGTGCAGCCCCCAGGAGGCCGGGCGGGCGGGCGGCCTCCCGCCGTGTCCTTGGGAGCGGGTGAGGGAGAGGAGGCAGCCGGGGCTGCGCAGCGCTGGGCTAGAAGTGCTGAGTGCGGCTGAGGATGGCAGTCGTCAGGGGAGGCAGTTCTGCTCCCAGCCTGGCAGTGACCTGCGTGTGTGTGTGTGTGGGGGGGGGGGGGCTCCAGGTGCAGAGTCTGTAGGTTTCTGGAAGCTGCTGCACAGGTGGGGTGCTGAGCCTTAATGGGAGTATGGAATCTGGCCTTGGAATCTGGTGGGTCACGACATTGGGGTAGGGGGGCAGCAAGTTGAATAATCTGTCTGGCTTCCTAAAACCTGAACCACTGATGTTTTGTGTGTGTGTGTGTGTGTGTGTGTGTGTGTGGAGAAGGGGGGTGGTTGAGGCATGGTCTCTGGGTGGGAGGAGGCTTGCTGCTTGGCGCTGGCCGGAGGGAACAGAGGAGGGGTCAGGTGAAGGAATCAGGGAGGGAAATTTTTAAAAAAGAAGGAAGCCACGGGCCAGTGAATCCGTGGCCCTTTCAGAACGGCCCAGCCGAGCACCCAGAGCGCCCATCGGGGATCCAAATGCCCATTTCCCATCAGACGGTTCAGGACCCTCTGGGGGAGGGGGCTGGAGAGTTATGCACGAGGCTGCTCCTAAACGGCGCCATAGCTGGTCAGCAGTGAGGGCAGGGGTCCCAGGCCGTCTGCTGGTCTCCCGCGCTGGCAGGGGTGCGGGACAGAGGTGCGGCCTGGGAGCCGGTGCCCTGAGACCCGGCAGCTCTGCCGAGTTACTGGACATCTTAACAGCGGAGCACACGTGTGGCAGTGCCGAGAGCAGGAACTGCGAAGCTGGTCTGGGTTCAGGCCGCTTGGTCATTTCACGTCCACAGACGGCCACTGGCCGCCTGGCTCCGCTCCTTCCTGGGCGCCTGGGAGCGCTGCCGCCGCTTTCTGGGGTCTGAGGTGCGAGCAGGCGCTCAGTGCCGGGCACCGTGGTGCAAGTGTGGCCTGTGCCCGGGCTGTCCGTCACGGAGGCCGGTGATGGGGGCGTAGGAACCGTTGTCACCCCCGTGTTACAGGGAGGAAACAGGCACAGAGAAGCTAAGCCACGTGCGCACTGAGGTCAAGGACAAGGGTAAGGCCAGCTGAGGTCGAACCCCGGGTGTCTGACCTCAGCCAGTTCTGAAGTGTGGCCTCTGCTGCCCCCGGTGTTCCAGAAGCGTTACTGCTGCCTGAGCTGATGTCACAGCATCTCCGCAGCGGGCAGAGCTGGGGGGAGCTGGGGGGAGCTGGGGGGAGCTGGGGGGAGCTGGAGGGAGCTGGGGGGAGCTGGGGGGAGCTGGGGGGAGTGGGGGGAGCTGGAGGGAGCTGGGGGGAGCTGGGGGGAGCTGGGCGGAGCTGGGGGGAGCTGGGGGGAGCTGGGGGGAGCTGGGGGGAGTGGGGGGAGCTGGAGGGAGCTGGGGGAAGCTGGGGGGAGCTGGGCGGAGCTGGGGGAGCTGGGCGGAGCTGGGGGGGGAGCTGGAGGGAGCTGGGGGGGAGCTGGGCGGAGCTGGGGGAGCTGGGGGGGGAGCTGGGCGGAGCTGGGGGGAGCTGGTGGAGCTGGGGGGAGCTGGGGGGGGTGCTGGAGGGAGCTGGGGGGAGCTGGGGGGAGCTGGGGGGAGGAAGGCGCCTCCACACAGCGTGGGGGCTCCCCGTGGGGAGGCAGCCTGGAGAGCCAACTGCGTGCGGAAAGGAGGCTCCTGACGGGATTAGGTGCTCAGGGGAGGGTGGATTCTGGGGTGAAACGATCAGGCCCAGGCGGCGGCGGCGGTGGTGGGAAGAGGCGGAAGCCTCTGCAGACCTGGGCGTGGAGGGGGAGGAGACCGGCCGCCTGAGGGGCTGGGAGGTGACACGCTCCCCGTGGCCGGGCAGCGCTGCCTCCGCGTGGCTCTGCGGCCACTGGTGCTCACCAGGTCTGGCGGTGCCAGGCGAGGCCCTGAGCGCAGTCTGGTCCCCTCCGGCCCTTGCACGTGTCTGCTGCAGGGCGGGACCCCACGGCACGGCGGGCCGGACCGGCCTTCCTTCCCCTGCGATGTCCGTCAGTGCCCACCACTGGTGCCACCTGTGACAGGGATGCCAAGGTGAACGGGAATCGGCCCAGCTGCCATGGCTCAGGGGTTGAGCATCAACCTATGAACCTGGAGGTCCCGGTTCAGTTCCTGGTCAGGGCACAGGCCCAGGCTGCAGGCTCGATCCCCATTGGGGGGCGTGCAGGAGGCAGCAGAGCGATGATTCTCTCTCACCATTGATGTTTCTCTCCCTTTCCCCCTCCCTTCCCCTCCCTCTCCCCCTCTCTCTTCCTCTCCCTTTCCCTCTCTCTTTCCCTTCCTCTCTGAAATCATTAAAAACATGTATTTTTTTTTAAAAAAAGATGCAGTTCCTCAGAGCCTCTGGAGGGACCCAGGCACAGAGACAAATAGCAGCCCAGCACTGAAATGCTGTGACAAGAGCAATAATGATAAGAATAGCAGCTAACCCCTGGCCAGTGTGGCTCAGTGGACAGAGCGCCAGCCTGCAGACCAAAGGATCCCGGGTTCGATTCCAGTCAAGGGCATGGACCTTCGTTGCAGGCTCCTCCCTGGCCTGGGCCCCGGTCGGGGCTCATGCAGGAGGCAACCAATCAGCCTGTTTCTCTCACGTGAATGTTCTCTCCACCAAAAATGAATGGAAAAATATCCTTGGGTGAGGGTTAAAAATAACAGTAAAAGGAAAAGAAGAGCAGCTGACACACAGGCGCTGGGTGGGCGTCCTGCTGGGGAGTGAGCGAGCTCCCAGCAGCCAGGGGCTCTGCTGCTGTCCCCGGGCGCAGGCCGTTAGCTCCGCTGCCTGGGCCGGTGCCGCACTGAGCCCGGCCTGCCCTGTGCCACGTGAGGCGGGCGGGGCTGCGTGTGGGCACAGGCTGGCGAGCCCGGCACCCAGGCGACGCCTCGTCGGCTGGCAGCGGCAGGTGCGTGGGAGGCCCAGGCGGAGGTGCGCGCGCTCCCTGCTGGAGGCAGTCAGGGTGCAGGCGAAGGCGTGGAGGGAGCATGGAGGAAGGCGTGTTTCCAGGAAAAGCCGGAGCCCGGCCCTGGCGCGCAGGAAGCAGGCTGGCCGCTGGCAGAGGCGTGCATGCGTGCGCAGCGCCTGGCGTGGTCCGGGCACAGGAGCTGGGGAGGTCTGGGTGACTGTCTCCTGGCCGCGGGGGCGGGGGGGCGGGGGGGGGGGGAGTGGGGGGTGGAGCTGGGGCCGGCAGTGTGGATGGAGGGCTGGGCCCGCTCGCCTGAGAGGCAGGGACTGCCCCCAGCCTGTGGGTCCAGAAGGTCCGGGAGGCAAGGTGTCTGCTTAGAGTTAGACCCTCTTCCTCCCTCCTCCCTCCCTCCCTCCCTCCTCCCTCCCTCCCTCCCTCCCTCCCTCCCTCCTCCTTCCTCCTTGCTCCCTCCTTCCTTCCTTCCCTCCTTCCTTAAATATATTAGAGGTTAAGGCACAGATTCATGCACCAGTGAGGTCCCTCGGCCTGGCCTTGCAATCCGGATCCCCTCTGGGAATGTCGGGCTGTGGTTTCGGCCTGACCTCTGGGTGTCAGCCCAGACTGGCCGTCTGGCACCCCCCAGGGTGGAGCAGTGTGCGAAGCGGCCGGCGGCCAGGGAGGAGCCCGAGCTGGGACCGGCACCACGCTGCTCCAGCTCCCCCTGGCCCAGCCCCGCTGTGCCTGCCGCTGCCGTGGTAGCACGGCCGTGGAGCAGGACAGTCTCACCAGCTGTGAGCCCGGCTTCTGGCTGGTGGCTCTCCCGCTGTGGGAGGCACTGGCCACCAAGGGGGAGCTCCTGCATTAGGCATCTGCCCCCTGGTGGCCAGTGCGTGTCATAGCTACTTATTGGCTGGTCATAACGGTCACTTAGGTTTTTACATCTATAGATGTTTATTGATTTCTGAGAGAACTGGAGAGGGATGGAAACACCAACGATGAGAGAAAATCATTGATTGGCTACCCCCTGCATGTCCCACACTGGGGATCGAACCCACAACCCGGGCATGTGTCCTGACCGGGAACTAACCATGAGCATGCAGCAGGCCTCTCTTTTTAACCAAAAGGAAAACAGACCCACCTCATCGCTTGCTGGGGCTGGAAGGAGGAGTGGAGGGAGGTCCCTCTCCCTCTGCAGGGGCCTGTGTGGTGGAGATGAGCACAGCGGAGTCTGTGTGCCCTCTGGACGGGCCTGGAGGGGAGGGGGGGAGGGGGGGGGCCCGGGGGCCTGCGCCTTGGAGGAGATGGGAGCCCAGCGCCAGCGATGTTCTGGAAGTAGGATCGGAAGCTGTGTGCTCACTGCACCTGTGAAGCATCATTTCCTTTCTGAGACTTGGAACTCAGGAGACCCAGGCCCCGAACCCGGTCCCACTCAGTCCGCGGGTCGGGAGGTTCCGGAAGTATTGTAGAACGGCTCCCTCCCCTCGGCAGCCTGCGGACAGGGCCTCCGCTGAGCGACACCACCAGCCTCCACCCTCCGCCCTCTATCGGGGCCGCGGCCCGGGTTCAACTTTGCCACTTCCCACTCGGCTGCTCATGGCACTGCTCCCGCAGCCGTCTGCTCTGGAAGCTGGCGTCGGTGCTGGGAGGACTGAGGGGCTGGGCAGGGCCCGGGACACGGGGCCTCGCTCTCCCTGACCTGCCGGCTCCCGCAGCCCGGGCTCCCCCGCAGCTCCCACCAGCTGGGGCGGCTCTGGCGGGGTGCCAGGCTCCGGCCCCTCCCTGAGGCCTGGAGCCGGAACGGCTCTGGCCCCAGCTCGCCCCATCCCCCGTGTCTCTCCGGGCCTCCTGTCCCTGCTGGCAGGGCATCAGGCTGGACCCCTCCTGAGGGCCTCTGGCGTCCTCTGAGCTGGGACCTGTGTCCTCTCTGGCCATTGCTTCCGCGGGACC